CAGTTTCACCCCTTAAATGTGGGGGAAAAAAGTACCTGAGTAAAATCTTTGCCAATCCCTCATCCCTCAGCCAAGTTTCTGGTACTGTGCCCTACAGATTCCCCTTAGTCTGTTTGCTCAAGTCAGGAGAGTACTGGGGTACGTTTTAGTTCCCCTGCCCTGCATTGTGACCAGGAAACTCGAGGCTGTGCTATGAGGAATCACAGCACTCACCTTACTTTTTCCCATCCTTCGGGGATCACAGTGCTGTATTACTTACTGTCCTGTTTCTGAAAACAGTTTCATATGTTTGTGCAGTTATTTACAGTAGGAGCACAGTTCTCATGAAAGTTTCATCCTGTTGAAAGAACGTCTCCGAGGCCAGCATTGTGGCACAGTGGGTTAAGCCACTGCCTGTAAAGCCAGCATCCCATATCAGAGCAACAGTTCAAGTCCCAGCTGCTCTGCTTCCAGTCCAGCTCCCCGCTAATGTACCTGGGAAAGCAGTGAAGATGGCCCAGATACTTGGGCCCTGCCACCTTCATGGAAGACCAGGATAGAGTTCGTGGCTCCTGGCTTCAGCTTGACCCAGCCCCTGGCAAGCCTTTGGGGCCATTTGGGGAGTGAATCAACAGGTGGAAGCACTTATGTGTGCTCACACACTTACTTTCTTTCTCCCCTTCATCCCCTCCTTCTCACTGTCCCTCAACCTTTAAATAAAAGAAAAAGTGAAAGCAGCATTATGGATATACAATAGTAACTAATGGATATTGAATTTAAGGGAGAAAAATATTGATGTATGACTCCTAAATATATTAAAGTTGAATTTAATTTTGTGTATCTTAAAAACTCATTCTCCAAAAATAAATATTTATTCATTTAGAAGTATTTAAATTTCTTATTTTTTCTAGAGAAGATAACAAGAAATGAATTAACTTCTATGCAATTACTTATGTGGTGGCAACTTTAGAGTGAGAGAGAAAATACTTTAAATGAAACAGTTATTTGTCCTTTATATGGTAGGCATCCTCTCAAGATGGTTTTATATCTTTTTTTGTAAGTGGAGAAAAAATTTTTTGTTTAAAGTTTGATGTCTTCCTTTGAGTTTTTTTAAGAATGCAGTTTTTCTGGTTGTTAGTTACTAGAGTAACTAAAATTATTTTTAAAGGTCATGAAATAATTGTTATTTCCATTAGTCATCTTTTTTAAAGATTTAGTTACCTGTTTATTTGAAAGAGCATCAGAGAGAGGGAGAGACAGATCTTGCATCTGCTGGTTCACTCCCTAAGTGGCTTCAGCAGCCACAACTGGGTCAAACTGGAACCAGGAGCCATGAACTCCGTCTCGATCTCCCAACATGGGTTACAGGGGTCCAGCTATGTAGGCCATGTTATGTCTTCCCGGGAGGATAAGCAGAAAGCTGGATTAGAAGTGGAGCTGCCGGGGCCAGCGCCATGGCACTGTGGCACATCAGGTTAAAGTCCTGGCCTGAGGGCCGGCACCGTGGCTCACTTGGTTAATCCTCTGCCTGTGGCACCAGCACCCCAGGTTCTAGTCCCGGTTGGGGCGCCGGGTACTAGTCCTGGTTGCTCCTCTTCCAGTCCAGCTCTCTGCTGTGGCCCAGGAAGGCAGAGGAGGATGGCCCAAGTGCTTGGGTCCCTGTACCCGCATGGGAGACCAGGAGGAAGTACCCAGCTCCTGGCTTTGGACTGGCGCAGCACCGGCCGTAGCGGCCATTAGGGGAATGAACCAATGGAAGGAAGACCTTTCTCTCTGTCTCTCTCTCACTGTCTATAACTCTCTCTCTCTCTCTCTCTCTCTCACTCACTCTCACTCACTCTCACTCTCACTCACTCTCACTCTCTCTCACTCTCTCACTCTCTCACTCTCTCACTGTCTAACTCTGCCTGGCAAAAAAAAAAAAAAAAAAAAAAAGTCCTGGCCTGATGCATCAGCATCTCACATGGGTGCTGGTTCTAGTCCTGGCTGCTCCACTTCTAATCAGTGCAGCTCCAGCCGTTGAGGCCATCTGCAGAGTGAGCCAGCGAATAGAAGACCCCTCTTCCTCTCTCTGCCTCTCTCCAAGTCTTTCAAATAAATAAAATAAATCTTAAAAAAAAAAAAAAAAAAAAAGAGGAAGAAGTGGAGCTGCCAGGACATGACCCAGCACTCTGATATGGGATGCTGGTGGTGCAAGCAGCAGCAGCCTAACCTCTCTGCACCACAGTGTTGGCCCCACCATTAGGAATCTCTCTTGTTTTCCTTGAAACGTTCTGAATTGGCTGTTTTATAACCTTTTCCCATTTACCACTCGGATTCTTAATATTTTTGTTCTTGATATAGGTGAGATTGTTTACAAGCTAGCATTCCTCATATATATTTTTCTCACTATGTTGTTCTGCCCTTTTTAATAAAGCAAACTTTTGAGTATCACATTGCTCATTTTATGTCATCAAAAGACTATCTTAAAGGTACTTCATGGTTAGCATGTGTAAAATGGAGTTCATCATCTATTCCATGCCTCACCTTCACACACCCCAAAAAATTTCCTGATCAATTTTTTTAATGATATTTTTTGTATCATTTGAAAGGCAAGTGAAAGAGAGGTCTTCCATCAGCTGATTCACCCCACCAAATGCCCACAACAGCTGGGCCTGAGCCAGGCTGATGTCAAGAGCCAGGAACCAGGAACTGCATCTGGGTCTCCTGCATCATGATGGCAGGAACCCAAGCACTTGAGCTGTCATCTGCTGCTTCCTAGATGCATTAGTCGAGAGATCGACTGGAAGCAGAGCAGCCACGATCCAAACCAGCACTCCAGTGAGGGATGCAGGTGTCCCAAGCGGTAGCTTAATACACTGCCACAGTGCCTGCCACTCCCCTTCTCCCACCCCATTAGTTTTGTTTTGTTTTGTTTTAAGATTTATTTTATTTATTTGAAAGACAGAGTTACAGAGAGAGGTAGAGAGAGAGGTCCTCCATCCGATGGTTCACTCCCCAGATGACCACCACGGCTGGAGCTGCGCCAATCCGAAGCCAAGAGCCAAGAGCTTCCTCCAGGTCTCCCACATCAAGCACTTGGGCCATCTTCTACTGCTTCCACAGGACATAGCAAAGAGCTGGATGGGAAGAGGAGCAGCTGAGACTAAAACCAACGCCCATATGGGATGCCGGTGCTTCAGGCCAAGGCTTTAACCCGCTGCGTCACAGTGCCGGCCCCAACACCCCATTTTTTTATTTTTAATTCATTTCTAGTAATTCCTGTCCCACTAAGATCAACCAGTTGTGCAATTCCACGATCCAGAAAATTAGGTAGTGATTCTTGACTGTCTTCCTCACCCCTGTAGCTGACACAGAACCCATTCCTACACATCGTACCTCCTAAATATTGAAGTCATCCATTTTTCCACCTCCACCACACCAACATCCAACTCCAGCTATTGTTAACTCCCATCTTATTTTTAAGGATTTATTGATTTATTTGAAAGGCAGAGTTACACAGAGGCAATGGCAGAGAGAGATCTTCCAGCCCCTGGTTCACTCCCTAAATGGCTGCAACAGCCTGAGCTAGGTCGATCCAAAGCCAGGAACTAGGAACTTCTTCCGGATCTCACACGTAGGTACAGAGATCCAAGCACTTGGGCTAGCTTCTGCTGCTTTCCCAGGCCATAGCAGGGAGCTGGATGGGAAGTAGAGCAGCTGGGTCTTGACCTGGCACCCATATGGGATGCCAGCACTGCAGTCAGCAGCTCTACCCACCATGCCACAACACCTGCCCAACTCCCATCTTATTACTATAATACCCTCCTAATATCTCCTCATTTGACTTTGCTGTCCTTCCAGGCTGTTCTGATGTTACAGTAATATTTTCCAGACACAAATGTAATAATGCTTGAAAACATGTTTAGGCTGCTCTCTATTGTTAAGACCAAAACTAGAACTTTGTCTTGGATGCAGAACCCCATTTATGTTGATAGCCACATTTCATTTTATGTTTACTCACTCTCTTCTCATCCGTATTCCTTTCAGCTCACTTTGTCACCTGCAGCTTCAGGGGCTCTGCAAATGATTTTCCACTTCCCTGTAACACTGTCTTCCTACCTTCTTTCTGGTAAACTGCCACTTATCTTTAAGATCTGTTTTAATCAGTGTATTTAGGGAATCTTTATCTGACTTACACAGTGACAAATAACTCCCCTGATAGTTGGCACCGTATCCTTGTCTTTCACAGCACTGGATCCCTGTAAAGTCATTCACATATAGCACAGCACCTGGCACTTAGTCCCTCTGAAAATTTGGTTGAGTATGAATATGAATACGTTACCTTTCTTCAAGCTAAGTTTTAGTCTCTTCGGGCTTTTTCGTGACACTGTGGTTACTAATTGGAGAAAATATGACATACTCTCAAGAACTGGTATTTTTATTTAAGCCTCCTTTTTTGAACTTGTATAATTTTTTAAAAAGGATGTTTTATAATTTAAAATAAAACTAAGTTGTTGTTGCTACCTCATAAAACTGGAGAAGGGTCTTAAGATTTTAGTCAAAGGATATTTCTTACTGAGAAGATAATTTCAGGGCAGTACCCCTGCCTTTGAGCGTTAGACTGACATTGGCAAAGTTAACTGGTTTGAGAAATTTTTATATTTCATGTTGATAATTACAATATAATTTATGCTGTAATTAGTATCTATATAAAACTTAGATTTTGTTCTTTATGTCATTTTGTTACTCATCCTTAAAGTCAATAAGGTAGGTATAGTTACTGCTGATGAAGAAGTCTTAGGCACATTGCAAGACTTTATTCCATAGTCATTGAAATACTGAACCTATATTTATAAACCAGTTCTCATTCTTTAAACCTTATGCTGTTCCTCACACAGTTTTGCATTGTACACATAAAACAATCTGAAATGACTTGATTCTAAGTGAATTATAAAATGGAAGCTTTTCTAGAATATTCCTTTTGCATATTTTTATCTTTGTATTATTTAGAAAATCATTTTAAACCATTTTTCTTGTAGGAACCTCCAGAAGTTTAGTCTTTTTGGAGACATAAGCGTTCTACAACAGCAAGGAAGTTTGTCAAGTACATACCTCAGTAAGGTGGACCCTGATGGCAAAAAAATTAAGCAGTAAGTTATTTAGTTAGTGGAAAGGGGTTTAGATTAATAGTCATTCTCATTTTTTCTGAGAAATTATAAGACACAATCAGCAGAGTAATGATTTTTTTTCTAAAATGAACATGTCCTGGAAATGTCTTAACTGTGAAACACAGTGATAAGTATATACAACTCAATGTCATAAACCTTTAAGACAAATCAGATAACTTGCTAGATATTTCTATTTAAAATTGTTATTTCTGAACTTGCCTTTGCTATAACAAGAAGTTGGATGTCATCAATCTTTTCTACCAAATTGGTGTGAAATTCTAATTTCCGTGGATGAAGAACATTTCTAATGTGGTTAAGCCATCTTATTAATTACATTTTAATGTGGATTTTAACGGTATTTATTGTGGATTGATTAGCTGATGATAAAAAATGTATCTCAACAGTGCATGCCATTTATTGCCTATTTTCAAAAGTCAGCATTAAAAGAGTAGAGCTAAATGTTAATGAGATCATTGTGGCATGTGTTTTCCTTATAGAATTCAGCAGCTGTTTGAAGAAATATTGAGTAATAGTAGGCAACTGAAATGGCTGTCCTGTGGGTTTATGCTGGAAATAGTAACCCCAACTTCACTGTCATCTCTCCCTAACTCTATTGCCAACACAATGGAGCACCTGAGTTTACTGGACAACAATGTTCCTGGTAACAGCACTCTTATCACTGCAGTTGAACTGGAGCGATTTGTGAATCTGCGCTCACTTGCCCTGGATTTCTGTGACTTTACAGCTGAAATGGCAAGAGTCTTAACTGACAGCAACCATGTGCCTTTGCAGCGATTGTCTCTGCTGGTCCACAATGCTTCTGTGATGCACAAGTCTCTAGACAACATGCCAAATGATGAGCATTGGAAAGCCCTGTTAAGAAAGAGCGCCAGTCTTCGGGTCTACATAATGGCATTTGATATCAAGAGTGAAGATATGTTAAAGATTCTGAAACCCAGTATACCACTAGAGAGAATTCATTTTGATAGCTACATCACTTGTGTTTCAGGGGCTATTGTTGACCTTATATCCAGGCAATATGACAAGTTCCTCACACATTTTATATTGATGAATGATGTAATTGACACATCTGGCTTTCCAGATCTTAGTGACAACCGAAATGAAGATCCGTTGGTTTTGTTAGCATGGAGGTGCACAAAACTCTCCCTTCTGGCAGTTCATGGTATGTGGTTTTGTTCACTAAAATTCTATATCAGCATTATACCTAAAACATTTTATGCCAGTAAAAAGATAGCAGTGACCTTTATAATGTTAGTAAATCTTGGCTGTTTTCGTGCTTTTTAAAGTTTATAAAACACATCATTTACAAAAGGAAAATCACATCAGGCTGAGTGTCCTTCTCCAGCTTCTCTTACTTTTTGTTCTGCCGTGTGGGATTTCACAGAAATGTCATGTGAAATTAATTTAGGTTAAAAAAAACCATAGATAAGTATTTCCTCCAGTCACAAGACTGCTAAAAACAGCACAGGAGGAAGAGAAAGTAACTTTGTTTCATGATTTTTGAAATTTTTTTTTAGCCTGAACTTGTATTTGAGAATGTGTATCTCTTGCTTTTCATCTTTGCTTATGATTTGGCCAGTCATCCAGAGGTAGTAGCAAAGAATAGAATAGATCAGTTAGAAAGTACTAAGAGGCCGGCACCATGGCTCACTAGGCTAATCATCCGCTTAGGGTGCCAGCACCCCGGGGTTCTAGTCCCGGTCGGGGCACCGAATTCTGTCCCAGTTGCTCCTCTTCCAGTCCAGCTCTCTGCTGTGGCCCGGGAGGGCAGTGGAGGATGGCCCAAGTGCTTGGGCCCTGCACCTGCATGGGAGACCAGGAGGAAGCACCCGGCTCCTGGCTTCGGATCGGTGTAGCGCGCCAGCCATAGCGGCCATTTGGGGGGTGAACCAGCGGAAAACGAAGTCCTTTCTCTCTGTCTCTGTCTCTCACTGTCTAACTTTGCTTGTCCAAAAAAATAAATAAATAAAAAAGAAAGAACTAAGAAAAGTGAGGAATAAAGAAATGTCACATTATTTAAAGGTTCACTTAAGCAGTCTTTTTAATGCCCTTTATCTTCTTTGAAGAAACAAGATGTTAAATACAGGAGGTAACCATTAATCTGAGGTTGGTACATATGATTCCCATGACTATTTTATATTTTACATAAACTCAATGTCTTCTATTTTACTGAATGAAACAGTATCAGAATAGGATTACATCACCTACTTAGATTATTCACCACACACACACATTGGTGTTCCTGAGGACTGTATCATACTTCTAGCCTTTAAAAAAAAATCTGTACTTAAAAATCATGTTTCCTTTTCCAATTTTAGTATATTTTTTAAGGAAAAGGACCAAATTGCTAAGTGAAATACAAATTCAGAGGTTCGCAAGAAGCACTGAACAATGAGAAATCTGACTTAACTGACAAGAAAATAAAATGCCAGGAAATAACAGTGTTGTCTTTGGCTTATTTTTAAGGTTACACAGTGTGGGCACACAACCTCATTGCCATTGCCCGTCTTCGTGGCTCTGATCTAAAAGTGCTTGAAGTCACCGAAGAAAGCATTGATTTTGACCAAGGTGAACTGGCTGACCAGGATGTGGATCCAGTGCATAACCTTATTGAGCAGGTATCCCTGGGCTTGGGTCAATCTTGGCACGCAGTCATGGACATTGAATCACTCAGTGTCTTCACTGAACCAAATCGCCATTTTTACAGAGAGATGCAAAGCTTCAGTGAAGACATTTAGCTTTTTTTAAAGTACTATTCCTGTGGTTACATATGCAAGTAGGGTCCTATTATGTTTTTTTTTTTTCCAGTAGTGTGAATTAATCCCTTTGTGCTGTGTTTAATCAGTATTAGCTTTATAGAATTATATATGTATATTCTACTTCTTGATCAAAGAACGTAGTCAGGTATTGGTTTAGAAGTTCAAAGTGACAATGTGTAGGGTTTTCACGGTTAATGGACTTGTTACCAAACCTTAAGGATATACAACCGAAGGGTTGTCTGAGGTTGCTGGCTAACTTAACTTTTCACTGAGTTACTCTGCCTTTTTGATATTTTTATTTTTGTCAGAGTTCACAGCTCAGGAGCCAAAATATTTTTATACATATAAAGCTATATATCCATAGCCTGGTGGATTTGTATGCAATGCACTGCATCCATGCATTCAGATAGCATTTCACTCATTTTTATTTTTGAAATGGGAGAGGGAGAGTAATATCCCAAATGAATTATCTGTAACAGAAAAGCCAACTTTAATTTTCATTATACATATAATAGTTGATCACCAGTTACCATTCTGAATTTGTGTATTACTAGGTTAGAACATTGCTTAATCCTTTTTTAAAAAAAAAAAATGCATTTAGATGAACATAAAAACTGAATTGTTGTACTTTTTAAAACTGTAACCTAATTTTATTCATCAATTATATTACATATTCAAGTTAGCTTTTTAGCCCAGATTTCAAATAGTGGAGGGAAAAAGAAACTATATATTCCAGGGTAAAACCTCCTAAAGAGAATAAAACTACAGAGTTGTAAACATACATGCTTGCAAGCAGACATTAGTCGTGAAATCCTTAGCAACAAGTCACTGGATTTTTCTCTGTCAGCACGCGTGTCAGCTGCCAAAGAATAGACTTAAATGAAGAAGTGCCCACATGCTGGCAGGGGCCGGCCCACTCTGGCCAGCCGGATACTGCTAGATTGTAATATTTAAGGTCGAATTTCGACCTGTGGTACACAGCTGTGCTGTGGCTCAGTCAGCAACCTCAGAACTCTGAAAAAAACAAAACAAAAAAAAAAGAAAAAAAAACCATGCACCTGTTTCACTGTGAATAGTGAATGTAAAGGAAAGAAAGGAAAAACTGAAAGCTTGTTCTATCACAGGTATGAGCTGCTATGATACATGAAGAACATTCCATGAAGTATGTTTTAAAACCTTGTTATATCTGAGAGGCTTTAAAAGCCGATTTAACTGTTTCAGGGCAACCGCGGTACAGACGTGGTCTCTGTGAGACTTCCACCTGACCCCAGTTTTAAGTGGTACGAATGTTGTGCATTTAATGTTATAGGACAGTCTGCAATAATAAAGTAAGTAGCCAACGTGGGTGCCCAGCAGTGCTGAGACCTGGCTGCTATATTGTAAGCTTTGGAAACACAATTTATGCAACAGATGTCCAGATATGATTCTATTTATGGAAAAAGTTTATATGTGTTTTACAAATGGTTTTACCATCTTATATTAAAAATGACCTTTTGACAGGTGTGCACTGTTTTGTCTCCAGTGAGCACATACCATGCAGATTTTATATGTACATCAGTAGTGTGAATCCACTGGCACAGTGTGTGTAAATGCCAGATGTGGTGAGATTTTATCTTGTAAATGTGATCAGATAAAATAACTCCTGACAGAAACTGTAAGGAAACCAGCTGAATGTTTGACCTGATGACTGATGTTGTATGGTTTATGTTAAATGTATATTCTTTTAATCAATGAATAAAACATTAAAAACTGATCATTGTAATATATTTTGTTGTACATGAAGCATGAAACTTTTAGTGTTAAATAAACTGCAACAATCCTTACATTGTGTACAATCATATGTTAGCTCCTATTATGTTCAGGTGCAATAATGCGTAGATTTAGGAATATATCATAAAGCTACAGGCTGAATAGTTTTTAATTTAAAAAAAAATTTGGCTTGAGAATACAAGCTTAAAAGCAGACATTAGACTGGTTAGCACAAAATCCTAGTATATTGTACACTTAGACTACATTATTGAAATGATAAAACCGCATGCATGGAGTACATGGTATACAGCTTATTTTTAAAAATTCCTATTGTGGATGTGGGCATTGTGACATAATGGGTTAAGCCATCACTTTGGTCAGCCACATCCCATTCAGCTTTCTCCAATACACATGGGAGGCAGCAGATGATGGCTGAAGTACAAGGTCCCTGCCACTAACATGGAAGCCACAGATGGAGTTCCTGGCATATGGCTTCAGCCTGCCCAGCCCTGGCTGTTCTGGCCATTTGAGGAGTAAACCAGCAGATGGAAGATCTCTCTTGCTCTCATTTTGATTCTTGCTCTGCCTTTCAAAATAAAAAATGAGTAAGAATATAAAATCCTGTTCTGGATGCAAGTACTTAAGTATGCCAATACTTCATAAACTCCTATATTGCTTTAGTTTGGTGTTATGATCATCATCCTTGTTTGTTGAGACAAACAGTTCTCATTTATGGAAAAGAAAATGGCTCTTTTCCTTCTTCCATTTTCCTTCCAGGTACTGCCCCATCTTGGAATAATCCGGTATTCATAAAGAATTGTCTTTATACCTACCGCTCCCTTATTTCCTGGATATATCTAACTTCTCTGATTGAACTGACGTACTTTTATCTTTAAAAAAAAAATTTATTTTATTTTATTTGAAAGTCAAAGTTACACAGAGAGAGAGAGGTCTTCCATCTGCTGGTTCACTCCCCAATTGGCCACAATAGCTGGAGCTGCACCGATCCAAAGCCAGTAGCCAGGAGCTTCATCTGGGTCTCCCACGTGGGTGCAGGGGCCCAAGGACTTGGGCCATCTTCTGCTGCTTTCCCAGGCTATAGCAGAGAGCTGGATCAGAAGAGGAGCAGCCGGGACTTGAACCAGCACCCATATGGGATGCCAGCACTTCAGGCCAGGGCATTAACCCACTGTGCCACAGCACTGCCCAGACATACTTTTGTCGTTAAAATGCATGAAAAAGGAAGTCTTGAACAAGTGTGAATAACACGCAAGTGAAGGTGTAGTAAGGCCCTGAACCAGGAGACTGTTCATCTGTGCTGTACTCTTAAGTTCTGGCTCTGATGCCACCTGAGCACACACTCCCCTTTGTGCTTCAGTTTCCTCATCTGTAAAACAGAGGATTACACTGGTTATGAAAATTCTGATTCTTCATTGAAATTTTCAACTATTGTTAACCTAACAGCTCACAGACATATAAGATCATCTTTGAAAAAAGGTATTAAATATTTTTAAAACACTGAACTGTAAAATTTACATATTAAAATTACTTCCTGATATCCTCTACCATCCCCGGAATGAAAAAGTTACAGAGTGAATGGGGTGAGGCCTAGGAGAAGGATGCTTACAGTCAGACACAAAAATGCAGAAACAAGCTTGCTTGAGACTTACAGCATGAATCAGACTGGATTTTTATGAAGCCAGTAATCTAACAGTCCTAAGGGAGTAGTACTCAGGCAGTGTGGATAGTGCACAGGGACTGCACTAGCTTGGTATCAATGCTTTCTAACCTTTTTTAGGTCTTGGCATCTAAAGAAAATACAGCATACTGGTATTAACTAGAAGGGCTGCAGGGAAGAGCATTACCCTTTCTCATGTAATTGATGGAGAAGCCAGAGGATTTGAGGAAAAATAGGAAATTTGTATAGAACTTTCAAAATCTTGTCAATTATTTTAACTGATAATCTTTTCAAAATTTTAATACTGCCACCAATGAGAAACACCCAGAAATAATTTTTTTTAACCATTCCAAAAACCAGCTGAAATTTAACAACTGTTTCCTTGGTAAATAATGTTGAGGTTTCCTATAAAGGGAATTAATTTCAAAATCAAACTGATTTTTTCCAGTACAGGTATTTCAAAATATTGATGAAGCTCTAATTTGTAATCTCTCACTCACAACCCCTAGTTGAGCCACATCTGGGAGCACACGTCAGCCACAAACAGATTGAAGTATCTGAATGCAGGAAGGCATTTAGAGGGCTCCAGGGAGCCCTCCTCTCAGCCCCAGCTCCAACCCCCGCTGGGCTTGAGGGACATCATCCTGGTATGATCTAATTTAGGTTGGGGGTTTTGGAAAGAAAAAGCAAGATGTGTCATGAACAAGTTTTCAGGATACTTGAATCATCCTTCCCTTCTTCCTGGAAGACAAAAAAGTGAACAGTTGAGGACAAGACAGACCATGTGACGGCAAGGAAGAGGGAAACACTGACAGCTGGAGTTTGAATTGATGTGTCCATGGTAGCAAATTTGCAGTATCTTGTAAAGTGTCAAAAGTCACCTGTGCCCTATGACCCAGGACTTTGACTTCTGCAAGTCTACTAACACCATGTCTCCTAGCTTGTTTTCATGACCCCTAAAAATTCTAAAGAAGTTTTGAAAAACTGTATACCTCTTCATATATTAACTTAAATCTATAAAACTATTATAATCTTAACACATATACACAGTAATAGTTTAAAATGAACTGTAAACATTTTTCAGTGTAACAGAATTGAAATGCTGTTATAATTTGGTACTCCTGTCATCCATCATTTTTTAAATATGCTATTAGCGCTTGAGCATTTGGAAATTTTACATGCCTCCTTAAACTCATACTGTGTCAGTTACCCATTTATTTCCTCTTGGCTCTGAATGTATTCTTCAACATATGCTGTCCATAACACATTTCCTTTCCTTGAGCCTTTAGCATGAGAGCATCGTTAACTTCTCAGTAAGGGCACTGAAGGACTTAACAGGACAGGCAGTGTAGGTGTGAAGATACCCACCCAGCGGAACATGCCTCAGCCACAAGGCTGATGAGGGCCCTCTGTGAACTCTGCAGCCCCACTGCCCTTCAGCCTCTTGACACTGAACCAGAGCTGCAGCCACACTCACGTATTCTAAAGGCCACCTGCCTGTACAGACACAACTCCCAGTGCAAACCCAGGGCTCCCCAAGGTCTAGCGGTAGGAGAATGCAGTGAGTCCTTCAGCACTGGGGAATTTTCAGCATTGCTTTTCCTTTCTAAAGTCATGTATGTGTCAGGTACCAACTGATTGCCTCTTAGCTCTGAAAGCATCCTCAGTGTAAGCACTCTGCTCCTTCCTGCCACCCCTACGACCCCGGCACATGCTCCTGCCACTGCTGGCTGGCTGCCTGCTCCCCCACTGCACTGGACAGTGCCTCTTGCTTCCCTGCAACTCTAGACCAACTTGGGCCTTGCAGAACTAACGATGCCATTTAGGAACATTTTTTAAAGATAAGACAAATAAACCTACACATTGTACATAAACAAACACATTTAACTGAAAAAACAAATAGTGCTTACCTGTGGAACATGACAGCATGAATGGGTATGGATGGGCATGAGGTTAATTGTATCTACAATTGTACCTACCTCTTTCTCCCTACCTCCTTCCCCACCTCCTTCACCTCCCCCCATATAGTAAAACTTATTGTTCTTGGCTGTCTCCTGTGCACTTAAAAATACCAAGCACATAGAGTATCATACATTTGTCAAAATATACACCATATTAAAATTGATTTAATTAATTTATATCACTGTATCTGAACAACATTCATTAGGAGAAAAGGCATGTGAAAAAAGAGCAAATTTAAATATTTGAAATGACAGGGACTATATAGCAAAATAAGACAAAAACTGACTCTTTAAATAGAAAAGGAACAGTGACCAGAAGAAATAAAACAGACTGGATAGATGTCAGTGATACTCGGTATTTGTTACTTCATCAAGAACTTTGTATACTGTCCAAATTCTTAAACAGTAACTGTTCATTGGTAAAACACTAAATGAGTAGCAGATGGGCTTGGCATTATGGTACTGCTTTTATTTTCAAAACTTCTTTATTTAAGATTTTATTTATTTATTTGAGAGGTAGAGTCACAGAGAGATGGAGAGACAGAGACAAAGTTCTCCCATCTGCTGCTCCACTCCCCAGATGGCCACAACGGCCAGAGCTGAGCCAATCCAAAGCCAAGAGCCACGAGTTTCTTCAGGGTCTCCCACGCAGGTGTAGGGACCCAACCACTTAAGCCATCTTCAGCTACTTTCCCAGGCCATAGCAGAGAGCTGGATCAGAAGAGGCCCAAGTCCTTGGGCCCCTACACCCACATGGGAGACCCGGAAGAAGCTCCTGGCTTTGGATTGGCGCAGCTCCGACCATTATGGCCATCTGGGGAGTGAACCAATGGATGGAAGACTCTTTCTGTCTCTACCTCTCTCTGTAACTCTATCTTTCAAATAAATAAAATAAATCTTTAAAAAAATAAAATATTTGGAGTGGATGTTTGGCACAGCAGTTGAAACTCTATGTGGATATCCTCATGCCATATTGGAGAGCCTGGGTTCAAGTTCAAGCTCTACTCCCAACCCAATTCCAGCTTCCTAATAATATGCACACTGAGGCAGCAGATGATGGTTCAAGTACTTGAGTCCCTGACAACCACATGGAAAAAGCCAGCTCCTGGCTTCCACCTGGCCCAGCAGTTATAACCATTTGGCAAGTAAACTGGGAATGGGAGATCTTTATGTCTACCTTTTAAATAATAAAATAGGGACCAGTGCTGTGGTAGAGTAGGCTAAGCCCCCACCTGCAGTGCCAGCATCCCATAGGTGCCAGTTCATGTCCCAGCTGTTCCTCTTCTGATCCAACTCTCTTCTATGGCCTGGGAAAGCAGTGGAAGATGGCCTAAGTGCTTGGGCCCCGGCATCCACATGAGAGACCTGGAAGAAGTGCCTGGCTTCTTCAGCCCAGCCCTGGCTCTTGTGGCCATCTGGGGAGTGAACCAGCAGATAGAAGATCTCCTTTCCCTCTCTCTCTCTCTCTCTCCCTCTCCCTCTCCCTCCCCCACCACTCCAATTTTACATAAATAAATAAATCTTTAAAATATATATAAAATAATAATAGTAATGAATATCTAAAACTGGTCATGCTTCTGTTTTCATAAGTTAATTTATTAAAACTGATCTTTTTTTAATGCTGGAATTCTGGTTTTATGTCTGAAATATTTAATTTTTAAAAACAATAAGCCCTGGACAGGCACTGTAACATAGTAGGTAAAACCACTACCTGCAATGCCAGCATCCCATGTGGGCTGACTGCTCTACTTCCTATCCAGCTCTCGGCAAACGTGCCTGGGAAAGCAGGGAAAATGGCCCAAGTCCTTGTGCCCCTGGATGGGAGACCCAAAGAAGCTACTGTACCAGATCAGCTCTCGCCATTGTGGCTATTTGGGGTTTGAACCAGCGAATGGAAGATTCTGTCTCTCTCTGTAAACTCTGCCTTTCAAATAAATGAATCAATGCTAAAAAAAAAATTCCACAAAATGACAGTTTATCATATGAAACTTTTAATTAAAAATCTTTTAGAAGTCAACTTGTCTAGTTCCTTCACTTTACAAAAAAAATTTAAATACATCAATTTTTCACTATTTCTTACTTTTACTTTAGGTTACAACCAAAGTTATATAATTAAAATATGCCACCCAAGAAAGCCTACCAGAATCTGATTTCTTCTCCAAAGAGGATTCATAATTTCAAGAGCTTAGGACAGAAGATGAACTTTAGTCAATCGTGTATTTATGTAAAGTATTCAACAAAATACTGTTCAGGTTGTTTCTTTGAACTTTTCTTCTCTGAACTAGATCCACAATTGTAATGATGTTCTCATTTTACAGTTTCTAAAAGCCTTACAATTTCAGGTTGAACTTAACACAGCATAAATTCTATCCAAGATAAATAATGAATAAAGCATGAACTAAAGACACCATTTTCAGGAATACCACAGGGAAAAAATAGAAGAAATTCAGCCAACAGCATACTATTGTATTTAGCTAGCCAGTTCTTTACAACTGAAGTGTTAGCCTTCTTCCATAAATGAAAAACAATTTAGAAAACAGAAGAGACTTAGCAAGTCTTGATTGGGAGCAAATGTTCCCCCCTAATAATGAGTCCATAGGAAGAAGAATACTTACTTCCCAACTACACATACCAAACCAAGAGTCTCTGGTCTCTGGTTCTATCTGCCACATCCAGACCCTTGTAACAGAACTGAAAAATGAGGCAGATTATATAACCTCATGAACCACAGTTTTAAAGACCAAATTTAAAAGACCTGCCTCCTAAGGCTATATCGAAAACAAGCATAAAAGCAGCTGCCTTAACTCCTTCACAGGATTACTTGGAAAAACATTACGTGCTAAATGCAAAAATGAGTTTCCCCTGCTATTACTAATAGCTGGAGAATTGGAATTTGAATGTAATCCTGGAGGGTTACTAGTCCAGCCTCCAAATACAGAAATATCCTCGGACCTTGTCAAATAGTTGCCCAGTTTCCATGTGAACACACGCCCTGAACAGGAAGAGGACAGCTGCCTCAACCTGTGTGAATGTTAGAGTCCCTTGATGAGTACCCACTGAACTTAAAGAATATATCTACTCCATAGGATATTTATAGCAAAGAGCTGCTCATTTTCAGTCCCCTTCAAGCTCGTTTCTGATGTTTTTCCTTTTAAAAGAACATATCTTCCTTTTTCCAAATAGATAACCATATCCATATTTTTTCTCAGTGTTGAATGTACTGCTCATTTACTGTGTGAACATATATAGTCATTATCATGATAACTTTATCATTATTGAGAAAAGTGGTCAGTTTGCTGTTTGTTTATAGGTAATATGTGTTACTGATTGCTTTTAAGATTTTATTTCTGGGGAGGTGGGGGGGTGCATAGAGTAAGGGTTAAGCCAGGATCAGTAATCAGTGCCCACATCCCCTGTAGGCACAAGTTGAGTTCTGGCTGCTCCACTTCCGATCCAGCTCTCTGCTAATGTTCCTGGGAAAGCAGTGGAAGATGGTCCAAGTCCTTGGGTCTCCACCAGCCACATGGGAGACCCAGATGGTGTTTGAGGCTCCTGGCTTTGGCCTAGCTGTTGCAGCTGTTTGGGAAGCGAACCAGCAGATGGCAGATCTCTCTCTCTCTCTCTCTCTCTCTCTCTCTCTGCCTGTCAAACAAGTGGTTTTTTTCCTAGGGGCCAGCACCATGGCATAGAAGGTAAAAGCCACCACCTGTGGTGCCAGCATCCCATATGGGCAAAGGTTCAAGTTCTGGCTGCTCCACTTCCGTTCCAGCTCCCTGCTATTGGCTTAAGCAAGCAGCAGAAGATGGCCTAACTGCTTGGGCCCCTGAACTTATGTGGAAGACCAGAAGAAGCTCTTGGCCTGGCTTCAGATCTGTACAACTCCAGCCATTGCAGCCATTTGGAGAATGAACCAGGAGATGGAAGATCTTACTCTCTGTCTCTAACTCCATCCTTCAAATAAAGCAATCACTCGTTAAAAATTATCTAATATTCTTCAAATTCCAATACTCTTATTAATCTGCTTTGGACTCAGCACTTCTACAATCTGAGAAATTATGTATTTCGTCGGTCTTGGGAAATCCTCAGCTACTATTTCTTAGAATGTTGCCTATTTTGTTTTGGTGATGGCCTTGGATGATTTTGTTTCTTACTAATTTGGACCATTTTTCATCTTAAAGGACAATTGTGTTCGTGCACTTTCATCACTATAACTGCCTATCATAGGCTACTCATAAAGAAAGGAGGTTCATTTTGGCTTACAGTTTTGGCAGTTCACAGTTCACAGTCCAGCAGAGCCCTGGTTCACCAAGAGGATGGCCATGCAGAGCATGTGTAGAGAATCCATCACAGGGCGAGCCACGAGGCAGAGAGGGTAGGTCCAACCTGGCTTTAGTAAACATCTTCCCATGAAAATACCTTGTGAGGGCACCCTCCTTGTGAACCAAGGAACAGCCCCCTACAACAAAGCCTATGCTAATCACAACAATTAGATCAAGCCCCATCCTCCTAGCGCCACTAACCCATTACTTTGGGGTTTAAATATCTGTCATGAGTTGGGAGCCATATCCTGTTTAAACCATGGCATCCACCCCAGGTCCCCCCCAAATTCAAGTCCTTCCCACATACAAAACAATAATTCCATCCTTGGGGCCAGCCAGCACTGTGGTGTAGTAGGTTAAGCCTCCACCTGCGGCACCAGCATCCCATATGAGCACTGGTTCATGTCCCAGCTGTTCTCTTCAGATCCAGTTCCATGCTTATGGCCTGGGAAAGCAGAGGAAGCCCAAGGGCTCGGGCTCCTGCACCCACATAGGAGACCTGGAAGAAGCTGCAGGCTCCTGGCTGCATCCTTGCTCGGTCCTGACTGCTGTGGCCATTAGGGGAGTGAACCAGCTGATTGAAGACCTATCTCTTTCTCCCTCTCCCTCTTGCTGTTGTAACTCTCCCTCTCAAATTAAGTAAATCTTAAAATGATTCCATCCCCAATAGTTCCAAAATCTTAACTCTATGCAACATTCAATCAGAAATCCAGAGCCTCACTGCTGGCATTGTGATACCAGCTACTCTACTTCCAAGCCAGCTCCCTGGTAATGTGCCTGGGCACAGCAACAGAAGATGGCCTCAGTTTAAGGGCCCCTGCACCCACAAGCCTGCTGGCTGACTCAACCCTGCAGCCGTTTGGGAAGTGAACCCATGGATGGAAGAGCTCGCTCGCTCGCTCGCTCGCTCTCTCTGCCTCTACATTCTAATTCTGCCTTTTCAAATAAATCTAAGAAAGAAAAGAAAAAAAAAAGGATCCATCTGGAAAACACTGTGGCAAAGTCTAGCTACCAGAGGGCTTGGGCAGTCCCACTCCTACCACTTTGCTAGTCACAGCCTAGTCACAGCCCATACCTCAGCCCCCACAGTTTAGTCTTGTCTACAGCTCCACTAGCACTGCCCTAGTACAGACTCTCTGTGGCAGCCCTGACTCCAAATTTGCACATGGCACAGCCCTAGTAGAGGCTTTGTCCATCCACCACCCCCCCCTCCAAGCCAAAAGTGTCCACTTGAGCCCCAGTGCTGTCTGATTCCTTTGAAATCTAGGTGGAGGCTTCCACGCCTATACAGCTCCGAGGTCTCTGCCCACACAGCTGCTGGGTGGGGCTGCATGCTACTGTCTGTGGCTTTCCCAGGCTTGCCTGGAACAGTGCAGCTTTCCACAGTGGGCATCTCATGTTGCTGGTATCTCTGCCTCTGTCAGGTCTCTATTTCAGCTCCACTCCCACAGTCCATTGGCATTGCCCCATCAGAGGCCCATACAGGGCTCAGAACCCTGCGGCACAAGTCTGCCTGGCCTCCCAAGCTTTCCTTCGCCATCTCGGTGGAGGCTGCCATGACTGACTCTCGCCTTCTGCGTGCCTGCAAAGCCAGCTTCACATGGACACTGCTGCCGTTGTCAACCGTCAACAGCCATCTGAAGGCCCTCTCCCCCTAATTCTGCACCTTCCCTGAATCCTTCTGAGGTGTTCTTAATAATTCCATATTGGAGTCTGCTGCTTAGAGCACTTACCACAATAAGGATTGAAAAAAAGTCTCACCTGTGATGTACCACATTGTGATTTTCAGGACACTAATGGTTAAAAATATATCTTTTTTCTTTAAAAAAAAAAAAAAAAACTTTTTTTTTCCATTGGAAAGGCAGCGTGAGAGAGAGAAGAGGAGAGACGGAAAGAAAGCTTCCATCTGCTGGTTCACCCCCCAAGCAGCCACAACAGCCCGGGCTGGGCCACGCTGAAGCCAGGAGCCTGGAATTCCATCCAGGTCTTCCACACAGGTGGCAAGGGCCCAAGCACTTGTACCATCTTCTGCTGCTTTCCCAGGCCCATGAGCAGGGACGTGGAACCGGTGCTCATGGGTTATGCTGGTGTCACAGGCTCCCACTTAACCCACTACGACACCATACCAGTCCCATCTTTAACCATTTCAATAGGAAAAAGCCTACCAACAATGGTAACATAATCAAATTCCCTACATACTTCTCATCAGAAACAAATGTTAAAACATAATTTAAGGGCTGGCGCTGTGGCATAGTGAGCTAAGTCTCCGCCTACAAAGCTGGCATCCCATTTGGGTGCCAATTTGTATCCTTGCTGCTCCTCTTCCCATCCAGCTCTCTGCTTATGGCCTGGGAAAGCAGCAGAGGATAGCCCAAGTGCTTCAAGTGCTTGGGTCCCTGCACCTGCATGGGGAGACCTGGAGGAAGCTCCTGGCTCCTGGCTCCTGGCTCCTGGCTTCAAACCAGCTCAGCTCCAGCCATTGTGGCCATTTGGAGAGTGAGCCAACAGATGGAAGACCTTTCTCTCTCTCTCCCTCTCTCTGTCAATAAGTGTACCTCTCAAATAAATAAAATCATAAAAATACATGTTAATTAATATTAATATGTTCCAAATGCTGACCTAGAATTCTATATCCAGAAAAAACATAACAAAAAATTTGAGGGAATGAAACTATCAGACATCAAAGGATTCATAAATTTTACATTTCACACGTACATTTTTAAAAAATTACTTGAAGGGCTGGTGCTGTGGCACAGCAAGTTAAAGCCCTGGCCTGAAGCGCCAGCATCCCATATGGATGGTGGTTCTAGTCCCGGCTGTTCCTCTTCCATTCCAGCTCTCTGCTATGTATGGTCTCAGAAAGCAGTAGAAGATGGCCCAAGTCCTTGGGCCCCTGCACCCAGGTGGGAGACCCAGAAGCAGCTCCTGGCTCCTGACGTCGGATCAGCTCAGCTCTGGCTGTTGCAGCCATTTGGGGAGTGAACCAGGGGATGGAAGACTGACTCTCTTTCCCCCTCTCTCTCTCCCTCCCTCTCCCCTTCTCTCTCCCCCTCTCTCCCTTTGTCTCTCTGTAGCTCTGCCTTTCAAATAAATAAATCTTTTAAAAAAATTACTTGAGGGGCCAGTATTCTGGTGCAGCAGGTTAAGCTCCTTCCTGCAACACATGCATCCCATATGAGCACCAGTCTGAGTCCCAGCTGCCCTGCTTCCAATCCAGCTCCCTGCTCATGTGCCTTAGAAAGCAGCAGAAGATGGCCCAAGTGCTTGGGCCCCTTCCACCAATGTTGAAGATGCAGATGGACTTCCAGGCTCCTGGTTTAGGCCCGGCCCAGCCAGAGCTGTTGTGGCCATTTGGGGAGTAAACCAGCAGATGGAAGATCTGTGTGTCTCCCTCTAACTCTGCTTTAAAAAATAATAATAATAATTTAAAAGTGAATTTGAGGGGCTGGTGCTGTGGCTCAGCAGGTTAAAGCCCCAGTCTGCAGTGCTGGCATCTCATAAGGGCTCCAATTCAAGTCCTGGCTGCTCCACTTCCAATCCAGTTCTCTGCTATGGCTGGGGAAGCAGTAGAATATGGCCCAAGTTCTTGGGCCCCTGCACCTGCATCAGAGACCTGGAAAAAGCTCCAGGCTTCTGGCTTTGGATCGGCCCAGCTCCGACCGTTGCATCCATTTGGGAAGTGAATCAGCGGGTAGAAGACTCTCTCTCTCTACCTCTCTCTTAGTGTATTAAGCTAAGCCTCTGTGTGTGTTGCCAGCATCCCATATGGACATCAGTTCTACTCCTGGCTGCTCCTCTTCCAATCCAGCTCTCTGCTATGGCCTGGGAGAGCAGCAGAAGATGGCCCAAGTGCTTGGGACCCTGCACCCGCATGGAAGGCCTGGAAAAAGCTCCTGGCTCCTGGCTTCAGATCAGCTCAGCCTACCATTGCAGCCATTTGGGGAGTGAACCAGCAGATGGAATACCTCTGTCTCTCCCTCTCTCTCTAACTCTGCCTTTCAAATAATTAAAAAAAAAAAATACAAACCTGATTTAGGGGAACACTCTATAAAACACTCCATAAAAATACTGATTGAATCCAGAGCTCAAAATGATAACACACTGCCTCAGCACAGTTATTGTAAATCTCAAAATTCCCACAAAAATGTATCTTACAAATGGAGAGGAAAAACAAAACTATACAAGTCAACCATTGAGTTAACTATGATTAAAATTCTAAAATTCAACACTACATAATATCTTTGTTTTCTTCAAATTATGATCAATTTGTCTTTTACTTTCAAAAATTTATGTTTATTTGAGAAGCACAGATACAGGGAGAGAGAGGCAGACAAAAACTAACAGACAACAGAGCCCCATTTTCTGGTTCATTCCCCAAATGCCCACAAATGCTAGGACTGGGACAGGGCTACAGCAAGAAGCCAGAATTCAATCCAGGTCTCCCACATGGCTAGCAGAAACTCACGTTTGAGCCATCACCACTGCCTCTAGAGTCTGCATTAGCAGCAAGCTGGAGTCCGGAGTTGGAGCTAGGTATCAAACCCAGGTACTTGGGGGCCAACGCCAGGGCACAGTGTGTTAAAGCCCTAGCCTGCAGCGCTGGCATCCCATATGGGTACCAGTTCAAGTCCTAGCTGCTCCACTTCCAATCCCGTTCCCTGCTAATATGCCTGGGAAAGCAGCAGAAAATGGCCCAAGCCCTTGGACCTCTGAACACACACGGGAGACCCAGAACAAACTCCTGGCCTGATAGGCTCAACTCCAGCCATTGCAGCCACTTGAGCAGTGAACCAGCAGATGGAAGACTGACCTACCTACCTACCTACCTACCTCTCGCTCTCTCTCTCTCTTTTAAATAAAATGAATCTTAAAAAAAAAGCTAGGTATTCCAATATGAGACAGAGGAGTGTGTGTGTGTGTGTGTTTATGATTTATTCATTTATTTGAAAGAGTTACACAGAGAGAGAAGGAAAAGCAATGAGGTCTTCCATCTGCTGGTTCACTCCCAAATGGCCGCAATGGCCAGGGCTGAGCCAGGCTGAAACCAGAAGCTTCATTTGGGTTTCCCACGTGGGTGGCCGGGGACCAAGCACTGGGCCATCTTCTGCTGCTTTCCCAGGCACATTAGCAGACAGCTAGATCAGAAGTGGAGCAGCTAGGACATGAACCGACAGCCCATATGGGATACTGGCATCGCAGCCAGCAGGTTTACCCACTACGCTGCAACACTGACCCTGATGCAGGAGTCTCAACCACCGTTTTACCCATTAGGGCAAGCATCCATCCCTCATTTTTGACTCTGAAAAGTGTATTAAGGTGTGCCTTTATACCACTCATGTCTATTTTCAAGAAGCAAGACACATATTTTGTAACATAACTGAAATCAGAAAGACCCAAATAAAGCTTTAGTTTTGAACTTCAAATGTACTGACACAAGAAAAAAAACAAATAATGGAATTGTATTTATGGGAAAACTAACTAATTTTATTATTATGGATGCCCAACAAGTCTTTAAATCAGTTAAAATTTATTTGATTAAGCATAAAGTTACGTTCACATTTCTCTACAACCATAGTAAACACAGTTCTTGGCCTAAAGATATAGCCTTTGGAATTTAAAACATCCCCAACCGCAATATTACATATATAAAACTCCCACTGTTTATGTAATAGTGGATTAATCAAATTAAAATAATTATACTATCTAGAGCAAAATAAAATGAAAATAATTTACTCATAAGATTCATATTTAAATCATCTTTATTTACAAAATGCTATCCTGAGAATTATAATTCCATTAGGCTTCAATTTGAGCGGAAGTACAATCACTTAAGTAACAGCGGTTACTTAAACTGAAAAGGTGAGATAGGTCAAGATCGCTTCTGGAGAGATCAGAAATAGCATCAGGTTTCTTGCTGTGGCTCTGGGTGTTCAGCAGCAGGCTCGTCTGAAGGAGGAATCGGCCCTGCGGGGAACTCACTTCTGTTTTCAGGATGTGGGGGTGGGGGGAGAAACCCAGCTCTTGGGGGAAGGTAATAAGGATAACCCCTCGGAGAATACACATTTCTCACTGTTCAAAGAAAGTGGTAAAAGAGATTTTTTAACTTAAAGAACCTGTATATCGCAGCCCCAACAATTCACTCCCAACACTTATTTTTACATTCAAAAATGGACCAGAATAATACCTTAATATAACAAACTAATTTGTATAATACTAAGAAAAATGTATCCTCTTACATATAATTAAAGGAAACATCATTAATTTTAGACATGATTTTTTTCCATATTACTTTTTAAAACAAAGAGGATTATATCAAAAATATACAGAACTTACCTTAAAAAAACTTCATGTAACATAATTCTCACCAGAATTAAAATTATGCTAAAACACTTTCAATTATATCAAAAATTGTATCTTAAAATGTCCCAAACAAAATTCATTTTAATTCACCTTAAACTTCAAAAGCAGAGGAAGAATGAGGTGAGAAATGGCATCCTATAAGACAATTAATAGGCTTTTGCCCAATATTTGTTAAATATTTATTATGCAGGAACCTGTATTTCTCAATGGTAAAATATGGACATAAAAGCAATAAATTATATATTTTTCTTATGTGAAGCTATTAAAGTAGTTCAATATATTCATCAAACAGACAAAACATGATAAATACATCTTAGGTTTTAAATAAGTAGGACTACAAGGGAAACTACTTGTAAAATACTCTTAAAAATACTTTAACCAATAATTTTATTGCTAATATAAACTATGATAATTTTAAGTAACAGCCACAATAACCTGTTTCTATCAAATGATACACAAATAATTTTAGTCTTAATATAAGGCTGCAACAAAAAGCCAGTGAGTTTCTTTACTACTAAGATAACTCATGTTGACAGCCAGTACAGTCTACTGATGGCTGGCTACCTTCCCAATTTGGAAAAGTAATGGTATACTCACAGACCATTAGAAAAAATTTTTTTCTTTCACTGTATTACTATATGAATCAATAGTAAAATCAGCATCTCTGATTTACTGTATGAAACACTAAGGTTTAAAGGAAAAAAAAAAGCATACTTGCAAATGGAGGAGGTGGTGGGCCAGGAACAGGGAAATCCCTTGGTGGAAAAAAATCTCTGGGAACGCCATACACACTTCCTGGAGGACGGGGCGGGAAAGGAGGTCCTCTTCTCATGAACGGATCCACTGGTAACAATGGCCCTCTGATCGGAGGAGGAGGGGGAGGGAAAAAGCCAGGGCGAGCTGCTTCACCTTCAGCAGGAGCAGATGAATCAGGCACATTTAGCTTCTGTAACAAAGTGACATATGGCAGTCACCAACACAACTACAAAATTTGCAACAGTTTTCCTGAAAATCTTAGGCTCAGAAGAAAGCACCTAGGCACCTAGCCAGAAGCAGTCCTTGACAGAGCTTTCCAGGTAAACATATCAGCTACCACTAATATTTTATAAAATCAACAGAAAACAGTTTTAATCAACAAAGCAACAGTCTGGGTAAAGATAAACACAAACAGTCTAAGAGTAGCAAAATGTACATTTTTCAAGCATATACTAAAAAAAAGCAAAACAGTTTAGTTTACATTTTCCAGGTGACCTAAGTTAAAATTGTAAAGGTATAATATCAAAAATATACTTTAAAATATTCAAAAATAATCCAAGGGGGAATATAAAAAATCTTGCTAAACTAACACACTAACTTAAACCACCATTATGCGAGTTGTACTTTACCACCACAGGTTATAATTCAGAAAAGAAACAGATTTAAACAGAAAACTAATTATTAGCCACATTTCTATTCTAGTAAACAAGAGATGAGAAAGCTCCTGAGTACACAGGAAAACTTCCACTTTGAATACTTACGCCAAGATTGTCTTTGGTATCATTTCTACTAGATTCCATTTCTGAAGACACTGTCCCATCTAGATAGACATAAAAGTTGAACCATGAAAAATGTGTTTTATCATTTCATTGCTAGAATATTTCTAGATCACAAGGGACACTGGTATTTTCCCACCTTCTGTTGGCACATAAACCACCTTGACCCCAGCATCCTATATTAGGTCTTGTTCTTATGAACATCTGAAGGCACCTGGAAATTCTGTTAAACTCAGTTCTACGACAGGATGAAGCAGTGCTTTGTTTCTCCAGTTCGTCCCTATCAGTCCGGCTCCAGCATCAGAAAGAGCTGTCTAGAAGGTAGCACTCCTCTCCTTCCTTCCAATCTTCTCTCCCTTTCTCCCCCTCTTCCTTCTTTATTCTTCCATCAGTTAATACAGACTAACCTTTAGCCATTGTTTATAGATAAATGTTCCCAGACTGTATTATCAGAAACTGCTCAGTCCCTGAGGACATAAATTCAGACAACCTTCTTCTCTCTCACCACAACTATCCGTCGTCTCTTAGCTTTCTCATGTAATCACTCTCACTACACCTGTTCTTGGATGTCAATGGGGCCTTTCTTCACTTCTCTACCAAATTCATCAGTCCAGCCAATCCACATCCTTGCTCTATGGGTCATTTTTCATTTGTACTTGACAACATCCCAAGCCTAGATTAATCTAAATCTCTGCTTCAACTTTACCTGTACCTGAGACACTTGGCCCTGCTATAGAGGTTTAAAAAAAAAAAAATCCATGAAGATTGGCAGCATTCAAACTAACAGACACCACCATACTATACTTCCAAATGCACAACACCTTCTCTTCATCTCTGCCTTGTAAGCTGGCTTCCTCTTCAGCAATGTCAAACATTCATTCTCCTTAAACCCTACTACACTCATCACTTAGAAACTCCCTTTTTTGGGGGGCTGGGACTATGGCTCAGCAGGTTAAAGGCACGGCCTGCAGCATCAACATCCCATATTGACCCTGGTTCGAATCCCAGCTGCTCCACTTCCAATCCAGGTCCCTGCTAATGCACCTGGGAAAGCAATGGAGGATGGCCCAAGTGCTTGGGCCCCTGCACTCATGTAGGAGACCCGGAAGAAGCTCCTGTCTTCTGGCCCAGTCCTGGCTGTTGTGGCCATTTGGGGAGTGAACTAGCAGATGGAAGATTTCTTTCTCTGTCTCTCCTTCTCTCTCTAACTCTACCTTTCAAATAAATAAATAAATCTTAACAATAACAAAAAAAGAAACTCCCTTTTTTAACTGAATACTATTTTTAACATTTTTAATTTACATTATAGTCAAAGGCTTAATGTTCACTAATTCAACAAAGAAACTACTATGAACAACTACATGCTAACAAATTGGAAACTCTCAAAGAAATGGATAAATTCCTGGACACAACCTACCAAGATTAAATCAAGAAGACATAGAAAATATGAACAGGCCCATGACAAGCAAAGACATTGAAGCAGTAACTAATAGTCTCCCATCAAGGAATAGTCCAGGATTTGATGGCTTTACTACTAGATTCTACAAAACATTTAAAGAGTAACTAACTTTTTGTTAACAAGCACACAAAGGTACTGCAACTATATTCCTATGACCTTTCCTGCTATTATTATGGAAAAGGATCCTTTAGACAACCAATGATTTGTACTCAGAATCCTGGACTCAGCTTCCTCAAGGACTTTCCTCTCTCCCTGTAGGTTCCCTCCTCTCTTTCTGCTAGATCCAAATGTTTCCTGATTATTTATCCATTATGTCACATCATCCTATATACAGGATGCCTATAAAACTTAATTGAGCAATAAATATACTGCTTATGGTAACTCTGAAATAAATACTTTGTCAGTGAAATAAAATTCTCAGAATTGAAAAGCTGTTACTTGGTTAAAAAATGAAACTCTGCCTCCAGCTACTCTCTGATCCACCATCAAGAACTGTCACACACACACACACACACACACACACACACACACGGTGGTCTCCCATTCTGTCCTCATTTGCAATCTATTTGCAACATCCACTGCTTCACTGAAATTATCTTCCCCCAAGATGAAAATGTCTCTATGTGTACTCAATTACAATAGGCACTTCCAGTTCGTATTTTACATTACAGTGATCCCTTCTTTGTGGTTTTACTTTCGAGTTTCCGTTACTCATTGGCTTTAGTTATCCACTGACAACCTTGGTCAGAATCTATTAAATGGAAAACGCCAGAAATAAACAACTGACAAATGCTAAGTTGCACACTGTTCCGAGTAGCACGATAAAACCTCACCATCCTCCTCAGTCCCACTGGGAGTGTATCAGCCCTCTATTCAGCGTATCCATGCTGCATCTGATACCGCACCAGTAACTACTTAGTAACCATCAGCTGTCACAGTGTCACAGTGTTTGTGTTCAAATAACTGATGCAAGGCAGCATCAATCCATAAAACATGGAAGGAGACAGATTAACTCTGGTACCGTGAGGTAATGCTGCATGGTGTACTGGGGGATATGTTACATAAGGTTCAGTACTACCTATGGTTGCAGGCATCCATAAGGGCTCCCGGAACATTTCCCCCTGGATATGAGAGAACTACAGTACTTCCCACCACTGCTGACCACCCCCTTCATTTTCAAATATTCCTGGCCTTCAGCTTCCATGGAAGGACGCTTCCTTCTCTCTACCCTTCCTTTCTGTTGCTTCTCAACCTCCATGGTGACTGCAACTGATAACATCCCCCGAATTCTGCACTTGGCCCTAATCTCAACTCACCTCCTTCAAAAATCTTATCTACGCCTATAACTTTTGTTAGATTTATACTGCTAATGATTCCTACCCCTTTAATTCAGACCCAGATATGACTACCAAGACCTTGTGGCTTGACCTTGCCTCCTTGAATATTCATGCAGGTGTATCACATCTGCCACTAATTTTATCCATTCAAAATAAAACTTAAAATCTTCCTGGTGAACTTGCTCCATGTTCCTTATCTCAGAGCAGTGAATGGCATCTGTATTTACCCAGGTTGTGACAGCCAAGAACCTTGGCAACAGACAATACCCCTACCCATATCCCATATCCCTTCAATCCTGAATCCTCTAAATTCTCTATTTTCTATGTCTATTAACATCCACCCTATTCACTGTCACCATATCACTCATCGAGATTCCTGCCATAATTTCCTAAAAAGTTATACTGCCTCATGTCCTCTATTCTAATCTCCATAATGTAACCACAGAAATGTATCTAAAAATGCAGATCTTACTATATCTCCACTAATCTTTTGTGTATTCCCATTATCCTGATAACAAGTTCCGCATTTCTGAACATGATTCAGAAGCCCTTGTAAAAATCTATATAATCAGGGCAAGTGCTGTGGTACAGTAGGCTAAGACTCTGCACGCAGTGCCAGCATCCCATATGAATGCCAGTTCAAGTCCCGGCTGCTCCACTTCTGATCCAGCTCTCTGCTATGGCCTGGGAAAGCAATGGAAGATGGCCCAAGTGCTTGGGCCCCTGCACCAGTATGGGAGACCCGGAAGAAGCTTCTGGCTCCTGGCTTCGGATCGGCACAGTTCTGGCTGTTGCAAACATTTCAAGAGTAAACCAGAGGATGGAAGACCTTTCTGTCTCTCAAATGAATAAATAATATTTTTTAAAAGTCTATAGATACAAAACTTTGAGGATTCTAAGATGGTGGATTAGGGAATGATGTACTGTGCTAGGCAAGGGATAAACAGTAAAAAAAAAAAAAAAATGTAGAGGAAATAGTCTACATTGGAAGTTCTACAAAAGAAGAGGAATGCTGTGCACCTGTGTGGAAACTGCAGACACACAGGATGAACACAGACACAACACAAACTGCAACAGCCAAGAGCCAGAGCAGGCGGCAGCTTAGAGATGAGGTTAAGACCAGACTACAGTAACTCGTGGTGATACAGCCAGAGGGAGAGCCTGGGTGAAAGTCTGGACTGGAGCCCTAGGGGCTAGCACTTACTAGTGATTACCCATGGACCCAGTGGAAGTAAAAGGCGCACATTTATCTCGCCCCATCCTCCCCACAATGGCGTCTGCTGCCCTGCTGAGAAAGGGCACTGCGGAAGCCTTTGTGAATGCGCTGCAACTGGCTGAGACAGAACACCATCTTCTTGGCAGTACTGGAGGGGAGAGGGCTGCATTTAGCTAGTGGCTCTTAGATACACATGTGATCCAGAGGTTCTAGCAGAGAGAAAGATCCACAGTCCCCACCGACTTTGAGCCTGGCTGGAGGACTGACAGGTGGCTGGGCACCCACCTAGGACTGTGAGGTGCCCCCAGCCTCCCAATACACCACAGGCTCTGGAGCTCAATCTGCCTAGGCAGAGCTGGCTCAGGGAACAGCTGCCTCTCTGCTGACGGGTCAGGCTGGCAGCGCAGAGCGGAACCTCTGCACCCAGCAACTGTAGGAACCTCAGTGCTGAGACCGTGGAGATTCGGTGTCTACATGAGAGGGTGTGCAGGGGATAGCTGGGTCCCTGGGGAATCACTGAAGGTAGCTCCACATGCTTGGAGCTTCTTGGTTGCCTGGGATGGGTCACTGCAGCAGGAACTGTGCTCAGGGTGAGGACTGCACAGATCATTTGTACAGACATACAGAAACGCAGATGAGTGCTGAACTCATTGGGGGCTAACACAAGGGCATTGCTCAGCCTGGAGGAGAGGGGGTGATCACACCAACAGATGTGACCATTTCCCCCCTTTCTGTTAACAAGAGGAGATCTATCACACTCAACTTGGGTGTCACCCTGGATACTCGTCCCACCTGAAGCACCGACTAGAGCTCCCTGACCACACCCACCACATACCTCTTGGTAGGCACTGAGAGTGCAGTAAGCCACAGAGGCATTGTTCAAAGATAAAAGCCATCAGAGTGAAAAACCAACAAGAAACTCCACAAATGTTTAAAAATAAACCCAGAAATTCAAGAATAAGGAAGACACCATGAATTCCTCCAAAGGAACACAGCATTTCAATATTGCAGTGTGAAGATGAAAGGATTGAAAAAATGCCAGAAATAGAATTCCAAAGATTAATCATAGGATTACTCAAAAGCAATCAGAAACAAGCCACAAACTAAAGAAAAACATACATGCCATGAATGAAAATTTTCCCATGAAGTTGAGATTTTAAAGAGAAATCAAATGAACTATTAGAAATGAAGAATTCGGGCCGGCGCCGCGGCTCACTAGCCTAATCCTCCGCCTAGCGGAGCCGGCACACAGGGTTCTAGTCCCGGTCAGGGCGCCGGATTCTGTCCCGGTTGCCCCTCTTCCAGGCCAGCCCTCTGCTGTGGCCAGGGAGTGCAGTGGAGGATGGCCCAGGTGCTTGGGCCCTGCACCCCATGGGAGACCAGGAGAAGCACCTGGCTCCTGCCATCAGATCAGCGCGGTGCGCCGGCCGCGGCGGCCATTGGAGGGTGAACCAACGGCAAAGGAAGACCTTTATCTCTGTCTCTCTCTCTCACTGTCCACTCTGCCTGTCAAAAAAAAAAAAAAAAAAAGAAATGAAGAATTCAACAGATCAAATAAAAATGCAGTAGAAATACTTAACAATAGACTTGGTAAGGCAGAACAAAGAATATCCAACTTAGAAGACAAATTGCAGGAAATCTTTCAGTCAGACCAAAAAAGTATAAGAAGAAATTCAAAAACTTAAAAACCATGTTTAAAGAATTATGGAATACTATTAAATGACCAAATATATAAGTCTTAAGAGTTCCTAAAGGTGTAGAAAGAAAAAATCGACTACAAGGCCTATTTAGCGAAATAATTACAGAAAACATCCCAAATTTGGAGAAGCAGAAGATGGCCCAATTCCTTGGGCCCCTGCATGCACATGGGAGACCCAGAAGAAATTCCTGGATCCTGGCTTCGGATCAGCTCAGCTCCAGCCATTGCAGCCAACTGGGGAGTGAACCAGCAGATGGAAGACCTCTCTCTCTCCCTCTCTCCTTCTTTCTGTCTCTCTCTCTCTCTGCCTCTCCTCTCTCTCTGTGTAACTCTGACTTCCAAATAAATAATTTTTAAATAAATAATTTTTTTAAAAAATTAAGAGTGGGAATGGGAAAGAGAAGAGGAAGAAAGGTTGGAGCGTGGGTGGGAGCAAGGGCAGGATGGGAAGTAGCACTATGTTCCTAGATCTGTATATATGAAATACATGAAACTTGTATAACTTAAACAAAATTTTAAGAAGTTTTTAAATTAAAAATCTATATAATCTATACAGAATGGGAGGAAATATTTGTAAATGATTCACCTGACAAAGAGTTAATAACCAGACTACACAAAACACAACTGAACAGCAAAAGCAAATTAATAATAATCCAATTTAAAAATGGGCAGATCTAAACAGACATTTCTTAAAGACATACAACTGGATAACACATACAAGAAAAGTACTCAACATAACTATCAGAGAAATGCAAATCAAAACTACAATAAGGAGCAGCTGTTTGGTTTAGTGTTTAAAACACCCCCTGGAATGCCCACACCCCATATTGGAGTGCCTGGATTTGGGTCTCAGCTCCACTCCTAGTCCCAGCTTCCTATTGAAGTTGGAGCCTGCTGCCCACAAGGGAGACTCAAATTGAGTTTCCAGATCTGCTCTGGCCTGGCCCAGCCTTAACTATTGCAGGCATCTGGGGAGCAAACCAGCAGATGGGAGAAGTCTCTCTCTCTTTCTCCCTCACACTCTCTCTGTACCTATGCCTTTCAAATAAAACGTTCATAAATAAAAACTTTTAAAAACACAATGAGACATGACCTCACTCCAGTTAGATTGGCTACCATCAAAAAAGACAAAAAGTGCTAGCAAAAAGGGTAAAAGGGGGCTTTAACCCACTGTGCCACAGCACCAGCCCCAGGTAAAACTTTTTAAATGGTGTTAGTTCACAAATGGGTGTCTAATAACACACATACTTTCATTCCCTTAAACTTGAATTAACAGAGGGAAAAACAATTTCAAAAGCCAAATAATTTCAAAAGCCAAGCAGACTGGAAATCTGCTTCTTCTTTTATTCCAAAAATAGTCATTTTCTAAAACAAATATTCCAAGGCCGGTACTGGGACATAGCAGGTAAAGCCGCTGCCTACAGTGCTGGCATCCCATTGGGTGCCAGTTCGAGTCCCGGCTGCTCCTCTTCTTATCCAGCTCTCTGCTGTGACCTGGGAAAGCAGTGGCCCCTGCACCTACGTGGGAAACCCAAAGAAGCTCCTAGATCCTGGCTTCACATTGGCTCAGCTCCAGCCACTGTGGCCATCTGGGGAGTGAACCAGTAGATGGAGGACTTCTCTCTCTCTGCTTCTGCCTCTCTAAAACTCTGCCTTTCAAATAAATAAATAAATCTTTAAAAATAAATAAATATAAAATAACCAGAACCATAAAATCAGGAAGCTTCAGGAAATAGATATTATATTAGCCTTACGAGACAGCAGAGATAGGAATTATACTCATTATTAGTTCTGTATTCAACCATCAGTTCTTTATAATGCCACAACTGCTAAAACTTTTTTTCCTTACCCACTTTATCCAAAGAAGGCATATTAAAACTTCTCAGTTCTGCTGGTCCAGATAATCTACCCGAATTAGAATAAAATCTCTCTTGCCTTTGTGGAGGAAGAGCTGGGTCAGAATATGGTTGGCCTAGAAAACAAGTTTTTAAAATATTCTCATTAATATAAACCTAAGACAAACTTACTTAAGTTTAATATATTGAAGATGACATTTCTCATAATTCCTGAAAAAGTCAGATTCATGTTATCAATAGACAATAGTACACAATTTAAGAAAATGGCATACTTTTTATAGGTGGCAACTTTGTATAAACCCAAATATGGATTTAGAAAGTTTCAAAACAAAAATATGGAAGTAGAAAATGAAATTAGAATATGTGAAAATTGAATTTAGCTATACATTTATATGTATATATGTATGTAAATTCATTTAACTTTCAACTGCAATAATAGCAAGTGGAAGTGGATATATTAATATATCAAAAAGCTGAGGCAATAGCGACTAGCACAGGAGAAAGACAGAAAATGTAAGCTGAGCAAGAAATTTAGCAAAACAGATGACAATCTGTCACTGAAGTAAAACATGTATTATTCAGAGGTCATCGGTGGTCAAACTTTGACTCACTTCATTATTTTGAGATTTGGCACTCATGTGGTTCACACTGCCAAGATTAACAACAACTATTTAGGGGCCGGCGCTGTGGCACAGTGGGTTAAAGCTGCGATTTGCAGCACCAGCATCCCATATGGGTGCTGGTTCAAATCCCGGCTGCTTCACTTCCGATTCAGCTCTCTGCTATGGCCTGGGAAAGCAGTGGAAGATGGCCCAAGTCCTTGGGCCCCTGCGCCTGCGTGGGAGACGCAGAAGAAGCTCCAGGCTCCTGGCTTCGGATCAGTTCAGCTCTAGCCATTGCAGTCATTTGGGGAGTGAACCAGCAGATGGAAGATCTCTCTCTGTCTCTCTATAATTCTGCCTTTCAAATAAACAAATTACTACAGTAATATGCCAACAAATTGAAAAAAATCCAGAAGAAATGGATAGATTCCTGGACATACACAACCTACCAAAATTGAGCTATGAAGACACAGAAAACCTAAACAGACCAAAAACCAAGCCAGAGATTGAATCAGTAATAAAGATCTTCCCAACAAAGAAAGGCCCAGGACTAGATGCTTCACTGAATTCTACCAGACTTTTAAGAACCAATCTCAATACTTCTCAAACTATTCAAAGCAACTGAAAGAGAAGGAATCCTCCAAACTCCTTCTATGAGGCCAGCATCACCTTAATTCTAAAACCAGAAGATACAACAGAGAAAGAGAACTATAGACCAGTATCTCTGATGAGCATAAATACAAAAATCCTCAACAAAACACTTGCTAAATTAGTCTAATAGCACATCAGGAAGATCATTCATCCAGACCAAATAGGATTTATCTGTGGTATGCAGGGATGGTTCAACATTTGCAAATCAATAAATGTAATACATCATGTTAACAAACTGAAGAATAAAAACTATGATTATCTCAATAGATGCAGTGAAAGCATCTCATAAAGTACAACATCCTTTCATGATAAAAATCTTAAGCAAACTGGGTATAGAAGGAACATTCCTCAACATGATCAAGGCAATAGATGACAAACCCATAGCCAGCATCCTATTGAATGGGGGAAAGTTGGAAGCATTTCCACTAAGATCCAGAATCAGACAAAGATGCTCACTTTCACTGTCGTTATTCAATATAGTCATGGAAGTTTTAGCCAGAGCCATTAGGCAAGAAAAAAAAATTAAGGGGAAACAAATTGGAAAGGAAGAAGTCAAATTATCCCTGTTTGCAGATGACATGATTCTATATACAGGGGAACCAAGAGACTATTGGAACTCATAAGAGAGTTTGGTAAAGTAGAAGGTTATAAAATTAACACACAAAAATCATTAGCCTTTGTATACACAGATAATGCCATGGCTGAGAAAGAACTTGTAGCATCAGTTCCATTTATAATACCTACAAAAAAATTAAAAACCTTGGAGTAAATTTAACCAAGGAGGTGAAAGATCTCTGTAATGAAAATTACAAAACACTAAAGAAAGAAATAGAAGAAGACACCACATTATTCCATGTTCATGGAAGAATTAATATTAAAATGTCCATATTACCAAAAGCAATTTATAGATTCACTGTGATCCCAATCAAATACCAAGGACATTCTTCTCAAATATGAAAAAAATAATGCTGAAATTCATATGGAAACACAAGAGACTCTGAATAGCTAAAGCAACCTTAAACAACAAAAACAAAGCCAGACGCATCACAATACCAGATTTTAAGACCTAATACATGGGGCCAGCGCTGTGGCCTAGTGGGTAAAGCTGCTGCCTGCAGCACTGGCATCCCATATGGGCACCAGTTCAAGTCCCAGCTGCACCACTTCCAACCCAGCTTTCTGCTATGGCCTGGGCAAGCAGTAGAAGATGGCCCAAGTCCTTGGACCTCTGCACTCACATGGGAGACCCAGAGGAAGCTCCTGGCTCCTGGCTTCAAATGGGCATAGCTCCAGTCATTGTGACCATCTGGGGAGTGAACCAGCAGAAGACCTCTCTCTCTCTTTCTCTCTCTCTCTACCTCTGCTCTCTAACTCTGCCTTTCAAATAAATAAATCTTTAAAGAAAATAAAAAGACAGGGTAGTTATAATCAAACTAACTTGGTACAGGCATAAAAATAGACATGTAGACTTATGGAACAGAATAGAAACTCCAGAAATCAATCCAAGCATCTATAACCAATTAATCTTTGACAATCCGTGTTGAGTCTCTTCAACAAAAAGTGGTTGGAAAACTGGATCTCCACATGCAGAAGTATGAAACAAGACCCCTACCTGACACCATATACAAAAATCCACCCAAAATGGATTAAGTATCTCAATCTACAAACTGATAACATCAATTAAAAGAAGAGAAAATTGGGGAAACTCTGCAGGACAATAGCATAGGTGAGACTTCTTGGAAAAGACCCCAGAAGCACAAGCAATCAAAGTCAAAATTGACAAATGGGATTACATCAAGCTAAGAAGCTACTTCATTGCAAAGGAAACACTCAGAAAAGTGAAGAGGCAACCAACAGGATGGGAAAAAATATTTGCAACTAAGCAACTGAGAAAGGATTAATATCCAGAACCTAAAAAGTTCAAGACACCCAACAACAACAAAACAAGAAATCAGCAAAGGACTTCAACAGGCATTTTTCTTTTTTTTTAAGATTTTTATATTTTTTTATTTATTTATTTGACAGGTAGAGTTACAGACAATGAGAGAGAAAGAGAGGGAGAGAGAGAGACAGAGAGAGAGGTCTTCCTTTTCCATTGGTTCACAAAGGCCAGAACTGCGCTCATCCAAAGCCAGGAGCCAGGTGCTTCCTCCTGGTCTCCCATGCGGGTGCAGGGCCCAAGCACCTGGGCCATCCTCCACTGCCCTCCCAGGCCACAGCAGAGAGCTGGACTGGAACAGGAGCAACCAGGACTAGAATCGGCTCCCATATGGGATGCCAGGGCTGCAGGTGGAGGATTAACCTAGTGAGGCACAGCGCCAGCCCCAATAGGCATTTTTCAAAAGAGGAAAATTCGAATGGCCAACAGACACATGAAAAATCTCAGGATCACTAGCCATCAGGGAAATGCAAATCAAAATCACAATGAGGTTTCCCCTTATCCCAGTTAAAATGCTCTCATACAGAAATCAACAAACAATAAATGCTGGCGAGGTATAGAGGAAAAAAAGTACCCTAATCCACTGTTGATAGCAATGTAAACTAGTACAGCCTCGGTGGAAGATAGTATGAAAATTCCTCAGAAATCTTAAAGAAGATCTACCATATGACCCAACAATCACACTCCTGGGAATTTACCCAAACAAAATAAAATCAGCATATGAAAGTTATCTGTACCCCGTGTTGTAGCTCAATTCACAATAGCTAAGATATGGAATCAACCCAGATGTCCATCAACCTATGAATGGATAAGAAAATGTTATATATATACACTATGGACTACCACCCAGCTGTAAAAAATAATGAAATCCTGTATTTCGCAAGAAAATGGAAGCAATCAGAAACCATTATACTTATTAGTGAAATAAACTAGTCCCAAAAAGACAAATATCATATGTTTTCTCTGATCTGTGGTAACTAATAGAGTACCAAAAAATCTAATGTTTATAAACAAAACAGACTTTTGAATCGGGAACAGTGTTTTTTTCTTAAGGAACTCTTAAGGAACAGTGTTTTTTTCTTCTTACTATTTGTCAAATTCTTTACTTAGTGTAAGGTTAATCTGATATAATATAAACTGAAGGTAGATCACTGTAAAAATTAAAAGAAAAAATAAGAAAGGGGCCGGCGCCACGGCTCAATAGACTAATCCTCCGTCTGCAGCGCCAGCACACCGGTTCTAGTCCCGGTTGGGGCGCCGGATTCTGTCCGGGTTGCTCCTCTTCCAGTCCAGCTCTCTGCTGTGGCCCGGGAGGGCAGTGGAGGATGGCCCAAGTCCTTGGGCCCTGCACCCGCATGGGAGACCAGGAGAAGCACCTGGCTTCTGGCTTTGGATCAGCATGGTGCACCGGCTGCAGCAGCCATTGGGGGGTGAACCAACTTGGAAAAGGAAGACCTTTCTGTCTCTCTCTCTCTCTCACTGTCCACTCTGTGTCAAAAAAAAAAAAAGAAAAAAAAAAGAAAAAAGGAAGTAGAATGGAGGGTGGGAAGTATCACTATACTCATAAATCTGTATATATGAAATATATGACATTTGTTTACCTTAAAAAATAATAATAAAAATATTTCAAAAAATTTAAACAGTCGTGGAAGTGGATGAATTGAGGAAACCTGAAAAATTTCCAATTCTTTCTTAATCAAATCTTAAGATATCATATCATCATTTTGCTTCTAAAATACATTGCCACAACATCAGCAATCTCAGAAATAAATCTACTTATTAGAAGCCCACTGTTTCAAGAATCATGTGCCCATATTGTCCTCCACTGGTAAAAGTAATTTACTCCTTAGATATATCAGGGCCTACTGTTTGCCAGGAACTAGCAATAACAACGTTAGTCTCCATATAATCTATGCCCTTATAG